TAATAATAATAATAATAATAAGCACATCTTTTTTCATTAATGAACAAATAAATGCATTTCAATTATTATGATAGATTTTTTTAGATTAACCATTTAATTGGAAAATGCAAAAAAAAAAAAAAAAAAAAAAAAAATTGTAGCATAAAATTATTATTATTATTATTTTGGAAGAATTCAAATCAAATGGCATCGAGCCTATCTTAATATTATCTTTTTTTTTTCTTTCTTTTTTTTGGACTAAAATAATTTGTATTTTGTTTGTTTCTTTAAGAATGATGTCCGTTTTTGTTTGTTTCTTTGGAGCAGCTTGGGGTTTTTATTTTTATTTTTATTTATTTTCTCTTTGTCTTCATTTGAATTTTTAAGTTTATAACCTAACTATATAAATTATTTTTATTAGCAAGAAAATGAAAATTAAATAAATGTGAAATGCTTCAACTAACCCTGTAGTTTTGTTACCTCTAATATATTAATATCATGTTAATATTCTAATCCAGCCCAAAAAGTTATTATTATTATTATTATTTTAAATACAATATCTATAAATTGAAAAAATCATAATTTACGGGCTTTAAAAACGTAATGGGCCAAATAGTAAAGCCCATCCATATCAAAGTTGCTTATTGGGCCAAGCATGAAAGCCCAATATATCAAGATTCAAGTAATGAGCCCAATATTGTGGCCCAATCCACATCAAGACTCTTAGTGGGCCAAACAGTAAAGCCCAGTTTACAGCAAAATTCTCTTAATGGGCTAAGCCGTAAAGCCTAGTCCATAGCAAAAATTCTTAGTGGGCCAAATAGTAAAGCTCAATCCATATCAAATCTCTTAGTAGGCCCAACAGTAAAGCCCAATCCATATCGAATTCTCTTGGTGAGCTGAGCAGTTAAGCGCAATCCATATCAAAATTTCTTACTAGGCTTAACAGTAAAGCCCAATTCATATTGAAAATCTGTAAGTGGGCCCAACAGTAAAGCCCAACTCATATTGAAAATCTGTTAATTGGGCCAAGCAGTAAAGCCCAATTCACGTTGAAAATCTGTTAATTGGGCCAAACAATAAAGCCTAGTCCATGGCAAAATTTCTTAGTGGGTCAATTGGTAAAAGCCCAAGCAATTGAGAGAGGAAATTACGGGCGTCTTAAATAGGTTTGATCTTCTTCTACTTCTTCAACCTAGGGTTGTGCACGCTGCAGGCCTCCGCCGTATCCCAAACACACAACAGCCGGTCTCTGCTTGCTAGATTCTAATGGGTAAGTTCGTGTCAATCTTGGTTTATAGAACATTTTCTTCGTAATTTATTTGTTGCTGATAAACATTCATTGATTGCTCTTGATTTTTTGATTGAGCGCAGCGAGAATTAAGGTTCACGAGCTTAGACAGAAGTCGAAGGCGGATCTTCTGACCCAGCTTAAAGACCTTAAGGCGGAGCTTGCTCTTCTGCGTGTCGCTAAGGTCACTGGTGGTGCTCCCAACAAGCTCTCCAAAATGTACGTTCTATCTTTCCATTGATTTCTCCAAAATGTACGTTTGGTTTTTTGTTGTTATAATGTTTGTGGTTTTGTTTTGGTGGTTCTTGATTGCAGTAAGGTGGTGAGGCTGTCAATTGCTCAGGTGTTGACCGTGATTTCTCAGAAACAGAAAGCTGCTCTTAGGGAAGCTTACAAGAAGAAGAAGCTTTTGCCTCTTGATTTGCGTCCCAAGAAGACCAGGGCCATTCGCCGAAGGCTCACCAAGCACCAAGTATGAACTTTCTTTCATTTGAAATGACATTTTCATACAGATTTTCCTTCCGCTGCTCTTGTATTTATCTCTGTGTCAGCTGAAAATTTGATTATTGTTGCATAAATCTAGATAATCTGTGAATTTGCTATCCATATTGTGAATGGTTGTGGATTCTGTTGTGTGTGTAGGTTTGTAGTGTTAATGTAGTATATCCATTGAATAACAACATTGCTATTACTTAACTATAGTTTGCTTTAGGCGGTCTTAGATTGTTGAGCCGTGGCAATTTTAGAAGTTTAGATTAGACTTCGATTATGAGAAAAGAACAATGTTGAACAAAATGGTGCTGGAAGATCAGAATGATGCTCCTAGAATTTGAAGCCGTCTACCCATTTCCATGCCCTAGTACTATTAACAAAACCCTCAGTTTTATGCCTTATTTAGAATGTAGAACAGAATCCTCAATTTGTTGTATTGAAATACTCGACTACCTTTCTTCCTTATTCTAATTCGACATCCATATCATGTGTTATACAGGCATCTCTATTGACCGAGCGACAGAAGAAGAAAGAGATGTACTACCCATTGAGGAAATACGCCATTAAGGTGTAGGCTTAGAGCAAATTGATTGATCATCCTTGGTATGATGCCATCTTCTACTCATTTTGGCTTTCGATTTATCGATAACGTTATTCAGACTTGAGTTTGTCTATTTTCAATCTCATTTTGTTAGATCTGTGAGAACTTTGAAGTATTTCCTTTTCCATGTAGTAATACTTTAGCGTTTCCCAAGTTTATAATGAAAAATGGTTTTGGTTAGTGGAATTTGATCTGAGCTTCAAACCCATCCGTAATTATGCAGTGTAGTTAAATGTTTCTCTTTAATATGGCTGAAATTTGGTAGAACATAAACATGGGGGTTGGAGTTAATAATCAAATGGTTCAAGCTATGGTTCTGTGTAACTAAATGTAGAAGGCTCGTGTCAGGTGGTTGTCTCGTGTCGTTTGACACTATTTATGATTAATTATTCACCCAACTCTATGAATATTTTGCCATCCCTGGCTTTAAGAGGTGTGATTGTAATAAACTTCATAATTCAAATGGTCTGGCATGGCCATGTGCGACGTTACCAAATTCCATGTCGACGAAGCGTGATAGTCACAATTATGATGTAAGGAAATAAAAATAAATGGTTACAACGAAGCTACAAGGACAGAAAATTTTAATTCATAAGGGAAAGCACATGCTAAATTTTGGTGTGGACCATATTTTTTCTTTTGTGGTTTATTAATAGAGGCAATAGGTCCATAAATCCTTTCAATTTTTATGTTTACCTTCTCCTAAATTTAAAATTTTTGTCTAGTAAGTTATTAGTTTATTTAACATTCTTTTTAATTCACAAATATACTCAAAATTATTCGTTTAGAATTCTATTAGTTCACTTTTAATAATTTTGAATAACTAATTTCTTTTTTATTTCAATATAACTCCAACGTTAAAAAATTTCAAATCTTTAAATCTTTATTTTTAAAAGAATAAATTACTTCTTAATAAAAATTTTATTTCTAACTAAAAAAAAATGTGTTCATCTATTATCTTATGTCTATTATCAATATGAACGTAACTCAATACATAAAGTTATTTACTCATAGCACATGCCCGTCCCATCGAATCTTTGTACTCGTAAAAGATCATATTTGTAAAAGAAAAACAAAGATACAAAAGGGGACTAAAATAGGTAAGTTCAGTGTGAAAGCTTAGCCATTTTAAAGATGCTATTTTGGGCAGAGCCATTGAAGAGGAGACCATGTGGTCCATATAGTGTAGCTCTGGAAGAAGAAGAAGAAGAGCACCTGGGAACATTCTTCTTACTTTTACTCAATCATTTCCTGTCTTTTTAACACTTTTACCATTTATTCATTTTAGTCGTTCCCATTTATTTATTTTAGTCGTTCAATTTTCAAAACTACTTAATTTTATACTACACGCAACCGAAACTCTATTATACACATTTACGATTAAATTTCATGAACTTTTGTAGGTGAATTTTCATGCTAAAATTACGATGGAAAGAAATTAGACAGAAACAAAAATAAAAAATTCATAATGGACATTTCGAAAGTACATGGACGAAAATGAAACAAATGTTGAAAGTACATAAACCAAAACCGGCCAAAGTAAATATTTTCTCACTTTTTTTAATTTAAAAAAGGAAAAAAAAAAAAAAAAAGAGGCGATTTTAGGTGGTTTCCTTAATGAGGAATTTAATGTTGTGCATCAGAAAGGAGGAGAGGCCCAAGTGGTAAATGCTTTTGGATGAAGAGTTGGTGAAAGTGTTAAAGAACAGCCTCCAACCTTTGTCCCCTCAACCCAACACTTTATATTTTGGTCTCTATTTAATGATATTATTTTCATTTTAGAGGTTGATGAACAATTAGAAGAAGAAGAACGCTGCTTTTCATTCATACTTAGCTTTTAATTCTGTTTTCCCCCTCTCTCTCCTCTTAATTTCATTTGCTTTTGGGAAGATAAGACCCCACAGAAACCTTTGGCCTTTGTCCCCATTAATAACTTATTATAAGGTACAAACAAAGTGGTTGTGTAAGACAATAGTGAAGCTGCAATGGCCTCTTTCCCCGGGACCGTGTCTCTTTCTTAGAACGTGTAGTGTGGATATTCAAATCTTCGACGAAGTTGTGATAGCTATCTCTCCACATGCAACGGGTTTTTACTTTTTACGTGGATACTCAAACTTTCGAGCTATGAATGTGGGCTTCTACACTCACACGCTGTTTCGAGGCTCAAAATAACTTGAAGACACATGATGCCATTATGGCACATAATACAGAATTCACCAACTACAAATTTAATGCACTCTCACAGTGCATATTTAGAGTAGGAATAATTATATCACCATAATTCAATATCCTTAATAACAAAAAACAACAAAAAGTTTTAATATTTGAATCCATTGGCATAATATTGGTAACAGATTACTGAATCATTGGCATAAATAATATTGGCAACAAAGACAACTATCAACATTTACTGAATTATTGGTAACAGATTGTTCTACCTTCTTGAATCCGTTGGCATAATATTTGAACCCAAAGTGTACATATTACTGACTAAATCGAAATAATTTTAGTAGAATATATTAGTGATTTCTCAAAATGACATGAAAAACATGATGGAAGAAGTTCACCGACAGTCATTAACTCAGTTGAAAAGTTTAAGCATTGTAAAGAAGTTGGGAGCTGCAGGAAAACGCCATGTGATTGCCATTTCTAGCTTCTTTTTTTTTTTTTTTTCATAACCAAAGAAAACAAACAAGCAACAAAAACAACCAAGCTTTTACAAGCAAAGCAGGTAGAGAAGTTAAAAGTACCTTTCATAAGAGAAACAGAGAAACAGAGAAAAAAACGGACCTTTTTTCAAAGAATTTGTCGCTGTAGATTGTGTTTTACGTCGTCAAACTTGACGAACGATAGACGCTCGTCGTTGAGCCAACTGCATTTCTCTGCAAGTGGATTCACAGTGTATTTTGCAGGGTAGCTATGGATGCAGTCTTTCCAGACATTTTCATCTTCCAAGTTGCTCATAACCTCCCACACACAGCTGTTGCATTCATAGCCTGCTCCAAAGCTTATCATCAGAATCTTGTCACCCTCTTTTAGCCTTTTTTTGGCTTCCATGTAGCCTAAAACATACCAAAGGCCACCAGTGGATGTGTTTCCAAATCTATGGAGTGCCATTCTTGCAGGCTCTAGGTCATAATCACTCAACCCTAAGCTCTTACCGATCCCATCAATGACTGCCCTTTCAGTTGGTGGTATCCCAAAGTGATCGACTCCAGTCTTCAGATTCAAGCGCACTTTCTTTTCTTCGATGTTGCCGTTGATGGTTTTGTAAAAAGGATGAGTTAGGATGGCATAGCGAAGTAGTTCCCTCAATGGTAAAATCCTAGGCAGTAGAGTTTGAAGGTTGATGGTGAGAGCTTGAGTTGCAACAGCTTTTATGTGTTTGGTGAGACGAAAACCTCGGTGACCATGGTCATCTTCCACTTGAATGGAACATCCATATGCTTCGTTGCTTGATCCCAGATGCGTTCGAAGAATACATTTAAGTTTCAGCAGAGCAGAATCCTTCAAAGCTGCCTTGTTCGTGAAGAGCATCGAACAGCCTCCCGATCGGTACAAACAGTTTGTGAGCATCATAGGCTGTTCCTTCCCACTATACCAGTTTGGTCCTATGGATTCTGTACTAACAACAACCGCATATGCATTCTTGTTTGTCTTGAACAAGTGTTTCACGAGATCAATAGCTACAATACTGGCACTGCACCCCATCCCAGAGAGGTTGAAGGCTTTGACGTCCTCCCTCATCTTGTAACGGTTTATTATTCGAGCAGTCAACGAAGGCGCTGGAGAGAACAAAGACACATTCACAACAAGTATATCAATGTCAGATGGAGAAACTCCCGTCTTGGCAAAGAGTTTGTCGAGTGCGCTCGAAAACACATCATCCATCTCCGAAATAGCATCTGATAGAGAAGGGCTTTCTTCTCTGGCTGCAATTATGTTTTTCGGGCCATAAGTTTCTCCTCCTAATCCCGAATTGACCATGCTTTTGAGTAGGTATCGGTATTCTTCAAGCCCCAGATTCCTGTTCCTCAAGATGATATTTACACAGGCTTCCACACCCAGCTTCCTGTCTTCAGTAGCTTTATAGCACTCGTACCCCAACAGATAACAGCATTGGTCTCTCCTTTGCAGAATCAACTTCCAAATGCAGAAGAAAGAATAGAAAAGAGACAGTAAACATACTACCATGAAAATCCCCATGGCCAGAGTGAGAGTGAGGAGACCAAGTTTCAGTTGGATCCTGTCATTCTATGGAGTGTAGTTATATTCAAGTTCTGTACCAACTAAGACAGCCATGCAATTTACTTTACTCGCAAATGGATGAAAACTCCAGCCTGTAAATACAGTTTGGTAGATCAAAAGAGCCATTAATTTTGATGGGCCAATAAAAGACTACAGATCAATTGTAATCAACCAACCCATCTCATACAGTTAAAATATGGTACATACTCCTAATAGTACAAGAAAACGTATTATTTAGCCAAGAACATGCTCCACTTAGAAAAGCTAACCACTGGTTTTCAGAAGCTCAAAACACACTAGTAATGAATTTCACTTCAATTATTACATTGTAGGGGAGGTTGCTATAGAATTGTTATTTCATCAGGAAACATGATCTGAAACTCTCTCTTTTTGTTCTCTGTTTTTGGCTAGTTGGGTAGTTGGTTACTGAATAACCATTGTCCCAAAGGGAGAAATTATTTGAGGAGGCTCTACAATGTAGCAGACAGTTTTGTACTATTCGATGTACAAGAAAGATAGTGCAAAAATACTCCAAATTCGTTATTATGGGCATACAGATTTTTTAATCACATTCCATTGGTTACTAAAAGGTGTCTTATTGAATATATATTTTTTTACTAATATACTAATTGAGAGAAGAAAAGCATTTCCAAATCATGATCATATTTGATAATGGCTATGGTAGATTCAAATGAGGAAGAAGATAGAGTGGGAAAATGAGTAATTTGAATTTTACAAAGTTATTGACCAACAACATGATAATGGCTGTGGTAGATTCAAATGAGTATTTTGAATTCTACAAAGTTACTAATCAACAACATGGATAATGGCTGTGGTAGATTCAATATGGTATCTGGCAGCAATCACGAATCAAAGGGAAACCATTAATTACAACTTTAGTACATGAGAATATGACACAGACTGCTCAGCTTATGAGATATCACATCACAATTGCCAAATCCACAAGGAAAACCATCGATAAGAATCAATAAATCAGTAACCATTTTCAACTCAAGTATGCAATTTAGAAAAGGGTATATAACCAGCATTCTCACCATCGCTCCACTTAGGAGAACATGCATGTCTCTGCTTGTTCACGGACAAGAAAACCTCTCTGTGATTCCATTAAAGAATCGATTAGGATGTTGATCCGATCGTCCCTTAGGGCCAATTATCCTCTCTGATTGCGTTGATAAGGAGAACAGCTCCTCTTCCATTTCCGATCTGAAATTTTAGGGCTATGGGGATTTGACGCGTCATGAGCAGATATCGCCACGTAGGGTTTTAGGGTTTTGCAGAAAGGAGAAACGTCTGAGGTAGACGGTGGGTCCCCTGGTTGTTGGGGCAAAGATGGTGATGATGTGATGCTAAGATCGATGAAAAACTCGGCTGAAAGTCCAGGCTCTCCCATGGCGACGTGTGTGCCCCTGACTCTTGACTTCCGTAATGTGGCAGACGGAAGGCGACCGGTTTGAAATTGGGCAGCGTGAAGGTCAGCGCCGTCGCTGTCCAACAGAGGTGGCGCCGGTGAGCTGCGGAATGAGGAAGGAAAGGCTCGGCGGAGGTGGCGGATGAGTACCAAACTTTTGGCGGGGACGATGGAATAATAGGATTATTAATATTATTAATATTATTTTTAAAAAAGGATTTTTTTTTCTTTTTTTTATTCGTCGGTTTTTTTTAAGACAATTAAAAAAAAAAAACTAGAAATAATATTTATAAATTTAATGTTTAATTAAATAAAAATTGATTTTTTAATTCTCTCCTGCATTTTTTCTTCCGATGGCCAGGTTCAGCAGGAATTGATTGTTAATATATTATTATTTTTTTTATTAATTTTGGAAAAATAAATTTTCCATTTACTTTGTTTATATATAATTTAAATCTAATTTGACTAAAATAAATTAATGCTTTGGAAAACGGGATGATCCAAAAAATTCAATGATTAAGAAAGTTCAATCTGACCTCAAAATTAATAAATAATCAAATAACGTTTTAATCAATACATTAAATTCTTTGAATATAAAGTTTGATTATATACACATTTTGTGAGAAAAAAAATTAAATTATAAATATATATTCTTTATAAGTTAGAAAAAATAAAATTATATTGTATATACTATTTTTTAAAATGTTATAAAATTATAAAGGCTAAGTCTAACTTTTTCAAAATTATTGGAATTGAATTAATAATTTAATGAAAAATTGTTCGTAAAGCTTTGTATTTTCTTTGTATAATAAATGTTATCTATTGGAAAATAAATATTTTAGTTGGCAAAATTATTTTCTATCCATGGTTAAAAAATTCATTTTTTTTATTGGGTTAGAATTAATTACGAGAATGAACCTTATAATTTTAGAATTCTTAGTTTATGAATTATTTATTATTGCATTCCGTTTGATTAATTCATAAATTAATGGTGAGATCATTTTTTTTTTTTTTTGTGTAAAGAGCTAAAATTCGAACAATTTTATTCTACTTAAAATTTAACTCGTAGCTTGCAGTGAGTAATTTGTGTAAGAACGACTGTAATTGCTAGTGGCAATTGCTAGTGGCAGTGGTTACTGATAGTAGCAACGATGATCGATAGTGATTATTACTGGTGGACGTTAATGAAGTGAAGGGTTGATGAGGGTATTTTGGTAATTTAGAAGGAATTCAACTAAACATTTATAAACTTTTTTGAATTCAAACAGTAATTTAAACTTCCTTTTCTTATTTGTAAGGAAAAATAAAAACAAATCCAAATCAACATATATGATATAATCCACCTCAGAAACCCCAAATTTATACATTTTCAAACGTGGACAATACGTGTCAACACGTTTCGCGTGGAGATTTCGCCACGTCATCATGTTTTGGGTTCAAACACTGTGAAAAGAAGAGGAAGAAGAAGTACTACCGGAGGAAGAAACCCCATGAAACAAATCCGACAAATACTTCCCCAAATCATCGGGAGAGAACCTCAAAACCCCTCTCTCCACACCCACCGTCTCAGCGCACCCCTCGTAAAACTCCCTGTACCTCGGCACCACCTTCCTCGCTATACACATTTTCAGCTCGTCTCTCAGCTTCCCGTCCTCCACCCTCCACGACGTCTGTTTCCGGTACGCCTCTTCAAACGCTGCATTGAACTTTCTAAACCCCTCCTTCGCCGTCTCCGGCGACCCCACTTCCGTCGAACCCCTCTCCGGCAGACACGACATCACTCTGTTCCACGCCGTCGCTTCGTAGTTCGCTGTGTACACCTTCATCTTGCTCGTGTGATTCGCCTCCCACTCGCCGCCGAGGAGGCTTCTTAGATTGGTCGCCGTTACTGTCTTCACGATGAAATTCAGGTTGTTGGCGAGGAAGAGATAGGAGAGAGATACGTCTTTGTAGAGAGCTGCTTTTGTGTCGAGTTTGCAGAGGAGGACTAGAATTAACCACCCGAGTTGCGCCGCTACTGGAGACGAGATACCGTCGTCGACGGCGTTGGTTTCCATGTACGACGCTGGAATATGAGATTTTCCGGTGGGAATGATGTCGGAGAGAGTCCCACTATAATCTCCCAGCGATGAGATGTAGTTCATCGCCGATCGGGTCAGTGGGTGGATTCCGCCGCCAGGGGCCGGAGTCTTGGATGAATATTTCTGAATTGTCAGCTCAAATTCATACAGAATGTCACGGATTAAATCCGCAAGCTTCACCATTGACGTTTGAGCTTGCGTTTTAATGGCGGACGTCGAAACAGAGTCGAATATTACCTCAATTTCCGGCAAGACTTCGTAACTCGCTTCGTAAAGCTCCATTAACAGAAAGATTTTGTCGGAATCTTTCTTCCCCTTTGCGACCAATTCCGGGAATCTAAACAACGTGATTGCACCATCTTTTGTGATGTCGGAAAAACAGGATTCTCGGATTCTTTCCGACCTCGAAAAAACATGATCGCAGAGAATTTTCTCTCCACGAAACAGAGTATTCACGGCGATCTTGATCGAATTCATCCAAATCTTAATCACATGTTCCACCGAATCCCAATTCCATCTCTGAATTCTCGAAAGTTTGAACTTCTCTGTTTCGAGCCGATACAGAGTTTCATCGACGATCGATTTTCGGATTACTTTGTAGATTTGAACACACTCTTTGCCATACCCAGAATCAATCATGCAATCAGCAATCGATTTCAAGTCCGCCGAGACTCTGTCGACGTCGCCGACAGAATCCCCTCTGCTTTCCCCGTCGGGCGTTGACCTATCAGAAGATCTACCAGAAAAGGATTCCGGGTCGATATTCTGGCGATTCTCACTCAAAATCTGGTAGAACTCCTTCTCGAGTCGTCTCATGGCAGCCTGCATCAGCTTTTGAGCTAAAACAAGGACGTTGGAGGTGGAATTCTCGGATATGACAAAGTCCATTGTCCGCCGGAGCTCATTAACGGAGTTCAAAAACTCGTCGGATTCAGCTCGGCCGTGGCGGAAGAGGAAGGTAATTCTATTGAACTCAGAGGAATCCGGGTCCCATTTCATGATGATGGGTTCCGAGTTCGTGATAGCCTCTTCCATGGCCGCCAATTGGGAAGGGTCATAGCTCGACGGCAGCGAAGGCCGGCGGCCGGAGGTGGGGAAGGAAGAAGAGGAGTGGGAGAAGCCAAAGAATTCTTTGATGTGCATTAATTTATTAGAACTCTTTGGGGTCTCCGAGAGTATCATTGGGAAAACGCTTCGAGATCTGGCTATGTAGGCATGGGAGTTTTGAAGGGATTTATAAAGATTTCAACCAGCACAATCATCCATTGACCGATTCAACATTACGTGGCTGAGCTTAGGTATATATACACACATATATATTTATTTAAAATTGTATATTTGACTTGAAAGTATATTATTATATTATAAGATATAGTACCCATGTTATTAATTTGATGAGTTGGACATATGAATTGAGATGACGTGGAGTCATAGACGAACTAGCAAAATGGACCCCACATCGGTTGAACGCTTGGAAACTTGTCGCATACTGTTGGTGTGTGTGAATAAAAATAATAGACACATCAACGATTAAAAACAAAAATATTATTTTATTTTTAAAAAAACCATTCAAAATTCCGACTAATAATATAATATAATATAATAAAAAATAATTAACGGTAGCACTTAAAAATGCCATAATTTATAATGCTAACATAGCTGTCCGTGGAAAGTTTCAAAGTTTGGATATATACTTTGGAGTAATGTGTCGCACACAATTTTTGTGGACTATATAAATCAATACATTGTTGTTAAATATAATATATAGTTTTTTTTTCGGTGTTTATACTGTTTAGTTCATATCATTCATAAAACTGAGTCAATATTGTGGTGAATTTTTTTAAACCAAAATTATTAGTTCTATCTACTCAAATTATACGCTATCAAAGTTGTAATTATTGTTTATTTACCTTTAATTTATAATATTATTTTTTAAAATTATTTTCAACATTTTTAAAAAATAATATTAATATTTTCAAAGAAAGAGATAATTTTTTTAAATAATAAACACCCTCAAAGAAACAAACAACAAAGTTCTAAAAGTCTAATTTAATTTTTTTTCAATACCCACCAAAATAAGGAGAGAAAAAAAAAACAGATAATCATGGGCATGCCTTAAATTTTGACCATGACCATGAGACCTAGTCTTCAAGGAAATGATCACATGGCATATCTTTTATAATGAAAAATAAAAAAATTATATAATTTCTAAATACGAGGAATGGTCGACCATGTATGACAATCCAACAAAATTTTAAGGAAAGAATAAGAAGGATATCATCGTAAAATGATTAAAAATTGTCATTATTCTTCAAATAATGACCATTGTGTCACATAATTTAGGATTATTGGTGTTTTTTGTCTTGTTATTTATCTTTATTAAAATATTATATCATACGAGAAGTTTGAAAATTAAAAATATTTGATATTTGTAATAGATGTTAGTGGTATATGGTAATTTATAAATATTTAATATTTAAGTTAACGTAATTTAGTTTTTTAAATAATTAAATAAAAATAATCCTAAAAATAACCAAAGTATTTGAAAAAGCTAATTAATTAATCCGCTATTTTTTTTTATTTTAAATTGACAATTATTTTGGTAGAATTATCTATTTTCCGCCTAACTTTTTTTTTTGTATTGACCATTCTTTCCCGAAAATTAGGTAGAGAAAAAACTGTCACTAGTTTATTTTTCTTTTAAAATTCATGAGTTAAAAATTTAATTTTTATTAAATATAAGATTTAATTTTATAAATACTTATTTAAAATAAAAATTGACTTGATCAAACTACATATCTTACAAATTAATTAATTAATTAATTATTAATGAAAAGAAATAAAAGGAGAATCCACACCACACTAAATTCAATTAATAATGTGAATAAAAAAAATTAATTGACCACATATAAATTCATTTAATTATTAAAAAAATAAAATCCAACTAATTTCCCATTTAAAAAAAAGGTCATATCCAGGTTGGGCTGAGAATATTGACCCGATTGGGGCAACGGGCTATTGGGCTATTGGGCCATGGACTTTGTTCAGACATGGATTTAAAAATCTCTTAAAATAATAATTGTA